TTTCTTCCTCCCAGTTGACCTTGAATCTGAGCCTTGATGCTTTAGAGTCCTAGGATTTCAGAGTTGGGTAGGAGATGGCTCATGGGAGAGATCACATCTTGGTCCCCAACCCCTTAGCTGCCAGGAAGAGATGGCAGAAAAATTATGAAATCATACGAAGTCAGTATGGGTTGGTAGAGTCTCATTCTTCCTCAAGTAGTTACTGGAAAACAGGAGTGCAGAGAACCAAGGCTTCCCATAGCTCAGACATGCCCTTGGGCCAGAAGTCCTTTGTCAAAGCATATTATGTTAGTTCAATAACTGTATAAATATCAGTAAGAAAGTGACAAGGATAAGGTTTAGCATGAAATTGGAGCCTCATCGTGTAACTTAGGAAAGTAAGGGCACACAGTGATGTTTAAAAAAATATTCAAAGACCCAGTAGCATGTGTCCAGGAAGACTGGCTGCTGCTGGGTGCTCACAGGACCTAGGCTCTTACATATAGCCTGTAAAGATGGCTTGGAATAATTCCTCCTCTTTCTCAAAGAGGCAGAGGCTCCAACATTTTGGAGAGGTCGCAGTGGTGGTCCTGACTCCCACCGTGTGGGAGAAAATACATTTTACCTGCCCTCCAAAGAATGAGTCAGAGCCTGTGGTGCCAATGCTGGCCAAATTCGAGTTCCTGAGACAGAGAGATCAGGAGGAGCCTGAGAATCTCACCTCAAACCATTTGCCCGAGGTCTTGACAGTGGAGGGTTTGCACGGCCCTTTCCCTTCTCCATGCCCTGGATGTGCCCGGAGGTGCTGCAGGCAGTATTGGTTGCTTGAGCTGATGACTCATATGTCTTAAAGTCTCCAAGTCATTTTTTATGGGGACACAGAAATTCCTGCTCAATAGCTGCCCTATGTTCATTGATTTCTTTGTTTGTTGTTTCCCTAAGAGATGCCAGTTTGGCAACACTCAAGGCTGCCTCTCCTCTGATTCAGATCTTGGAGACTTTCATCCATAACCACACAAAGCCCCAGGGCAGTTTTTTTGTGCTTCCCGCATTTAGTGTAATTCGGTGGATAAACTTGCTAAGCCACCTGATTTGAATAAAGTCCATTATTCCTCCTGGAAGAGCTCAGGATGGGGTCAATACCAATGGGAGCCAACTCTCCAGCCTCCTCTCCCACTCAGATACCTCAAGGAAGAATGAAATTAATAGAAGGAACAGAGCAAAGTGGATGAGGATAGAATTTAAGAGGTGGTTGTGCTTGCTAGGATGGTGGCCAAATAGGGCCACTTTGGAACATCACGTAAACCCCTTAATAACCTTCCTCCACACTATCTATAGCAGGGTTGGGCAATGCGGTTTCTTCCCACTTATTTTTACTTTAAGCAGAATACTTAATATATATTGGCACGGCTCTGATGTTTGAATGCTAATCATTACGCAGAAATGTTTCAATGCACACACCACTCACATTTGCATTTACTTTCTTTTGCTGCATTTTTATACCTAGGATAAACCTGGTTTAATATTCCATTAAATTTTTTTAAGCCACTGTAACTTTGTTTAATTTGGTTGCTGAAAAAGTTCTACTTTGGTATAATCTTGTGTTTGTAACCAAGATCGCTTTTAAGAAGGCACATTCTTATCAGAGATAATTTGGAAAAGCTGCAGTTTGTTCACTGTTTGGTACTATAGTAATGATTATCTTGAACTTACATTTTAGGGGCCTCCTTGTTTCACTTAGCATGCATCCTAAGTGTTGTCTATATTGTTACATAATCACGTGGTTTTCTTTTATTTATTTATTTTTATTATACTTTAAGTTCTAGGGTACATGTGCACAACCTGCAGGTTTGTTACATATGTATACCTGTGCCATGTTGGTGTGCTGCACTCATTAACTCGTCATTTACAGTAGGTATCTCTCCTAATGCAATCCCTCCTCCCTCCCTCCACCCCATGACAGGCCCCAGTGTGTAATGTTCCCCTTCCTGTGTCCAAGTGTTCTCATTGTTCAATTCCCACCTATGAGTGAGAACACGCGGTGTTTGGTTTTCTGTCCTTGTGATAGTTTGCTCAGAATGATGGTTTCCAGCTTCATCCATGTCCCTACAAAGGACATGAACTCATCCTTTTTTATGGCTGCATAGTATTCCATGGTGTATATGTGCCATATTTTTTCTTAATCCAGTCTGTCATTGACGGACATTTGGGTTGGTTCCAAGTCTTTGCTATTGTGAAGAGTGCTGCAATAAACATACATGTGCATGTGTCTTTATAGCAGCATGATTTATAATCCTTTGGGTGTATACCCAGTAATGGGATGGCTGGGTCAAATGGTATTTCTAGTTCTAGATCCTTGAGGAATTGCCACACTATCTTCCACAATGGCTGAACTAGTTTACAGTCCCACCAACATTGTAAAAGTGTTCCTATTTCTCCACATCCTCTCCAGCACCTGTTGTTTCCTGACTTTTTAATGATTGCCATTCTAACTGGTGTGAGGTGGTATCTCATTGTGGTTTTGATTTGCATTTCTCTGCTGGCCAGTGATGATGAGCATTTTTTCATGTGTCTGTTGGCTGCATAAATGCCTTCTTTTGAGAAGTGTCTGTTCATATCCTTCACCCACTTTTTGATAGGGTTGTTTGTTTTTTTCTTGTAAATTTGTTTGAGTTCTTTGTAGATTCTGGATATTAGCCCTTTGTCAGATGAGTAGATTGCAAACATTTTCTCCAATTCTGTAGGTTGCCTGTTCACTCTGATGATAGTTTCTTTTGCTGTGCAGAAGCTCTTTAGTTTAATTAGATCCCATTTGTCAATTTTGGCTTTTGTTGCTGTTGCTTTTGGTGTTTTAGACATGAAGTCCTTGCCCATGCCTATGTCCTGAATGGTATTGCCTAGGTTTTCTTCTAGGGTTTTTATGGTTTTAGGTCTAACATTTAAGTCTCTAATCCATCTTGAATTAATTTTTGTATAAAGTATAAGGAAGGGATCCAATTTCAGCTTTCTACATATGGCTAGCCAGTTTTCCCAGCACCATTTATTAAATAGGGAATCCTTTCCCCATTTCTTGTTTTTGTCAGGTTTGTCAAAGATCAGATGTTGTAGATGTGAATCACGTGGTTTTCATGGTTGCGTCGTAGTCCATTACATGGAAATGTCACAGCTTGCTTATCTGTTCTTCTGTACTGATCACTTTCAGTTTTTCAATATTTATCAATAACTTTGAGCAGAAAACCTTCTAGATTTCCCTTGTATTTTATATTATTTTCTTAAGATGGATGTTCCAAGGTCTCTTACAAAGATAATGAATGTATTTTAGGCCAAGTCTTTTCCAAGTGCAGTGTGTGCACAGATTGCTGGTGGATGTTGTGAAATGCAGATTCTAACTCAGTAGATGTGGGCTGGATCTGAGGATCTGCATTTGTCACAAATGCCTGCATGATGCCCAGGCTGTGGCTCAGGGCTTTGGGCAGTCTCTTAAAGTTGCTGGTGTATTGGCATTGAGAATATTTATAATACTTGTTTTGCCAAGTCATTGTGTGGGCTGGTTACCTAGGAGCTCTGCCCCCTCGGAAGTATTTTCTAATCAAGAAGAAAGTTTGGATTAGACTGGTGTCCAGAGGGATGGGGAGCTGTAGCACCTGCCTTCAGTGAAAGCCTCTAAGCTTAGTTGTGGCCGCCATTAGAATCATCTGGGGAGTACACACACACACACACACACACACACTCTTTCTCTCTCTCTCTCTCTCTCTCTCTCTCTTTCTCTCTCTCTCTTTCTCTCTCTTTCTCTCGGCTCCCTCCAGACCACTACAAACAGAATGGCTGGCAATGGAACCTGGCTATCAGTATTTTTTAAAGCTTCCCAGGTATTAGAGGTGATTCTGTATAGCTCAACAGCTCAACTATGTTCATTGATTTGTTTGCTTCTTTGTTTCCCTAAGAGATGCCAGTTTGGCAACACCCAAGGCTGCCTCTCCTCTGATTCAGATCTTGGAGACTTTCATCCATAACCATACAAAGCCCCAGGGCAGTTTTTTTTTTTTTTGTTTGTTTGTTTGTTTTGTGCTTCTCGCATTTAGTGTAATTAGGTGGATAAACTTGCTAAGCCACCTGATTTGAATAAAGTCCATTATTCCTCCTGAAAGGGCTCAGGATGGGGGTCAATACCAATGGGAGCCAACTCTCCAGCCTCCTGGAGAGTTGAGGACCTCCTGGTTGAGGACCATTGTTCTAAGCCCTTCCCACCTTAAATCTCACTGAGCTCCCAACTATGTTTTATACCTGCTTGGATGTAAAGCTTGGGGCTTATATATGCCACACTCAGACCTCCACGCTTTCAACAATGGATTTAGCACAGCCATGAGTTTTCTTTGCAATTCTGAAAAAATAATAACCATTATTTTGGACAGAAAACAAGGTAGTTGTCATCACTGACTTCTCCATGAAACTCACTCTTTTGTAGCATTTGCTGGTCCCATCTTACTGAATGCCACCATTGTATACTCAGTCTCCCAAGCCAAAAACCTGGGGCTGATCCTAGCCCCTTTACTTTCCCATACCCTTCAGATCTAAGCAGTTCTTACAGTCCTTTGCTCTGTATGTACTTGTTTCTTATAGAATGTATCGCATTATATTAAAATTATCTCTTAGTATGGTATGTCCTTCAACTAGATCATGAGCCTCTTGACTCCAGAGATAGTATCTGATGCATCTTTTTATTCCCCACATCTAGTGCAGTGCCTGTCTAGCACAAAGTGGAGACTCCTGAAATAACTGTTGAATGAATGGATGAAATAAAATAGGTTTTGATCACATGTAACCCTGGAAGATTATTCTTATGGTTGAAAGTTTCATAGCAGCCTGGTTCTAGCAGGAGCACAGATTGCCTAGATAGTGCCTGGTGCCAACATGGCCTTGGCCTTGAGGGTGTGCAAGGTGGCAGACGGAATGCCCAGCATGCCCTGACTCCCTGCCACTCACCACCTGCTAGAGTAACACCTGCTGTTTCTGTTTGGCAGTTGCCTTTTCAGGCCTTGGCTTCACGACGTTCTACTTGGCGGGAAAGCTGCACTGCTTCACCGAGAGTGGGCGGGGAAAGAGCTGGCGGCTCTGTGCTGCCATCCTGCCCTTGTACTGCGCCATGATGATTGCCCTGTCCCGCATGTGTGACTACAAGCATCACTGGCAAGGTGAGTCCCTGCCCAGGGCCTGACTAGACCTCACCGTGGTTGCCCCTCTCCTCCAGGGATGGGTGTAGAAATGCACCAGTTGTGGGAAGCTAAGTGCCCATTGTCCGAAACCAGAGGAGCCTGAAATGACAGAGTGGATGTAATTTTGAAGCAAATATGCTGGTTCAAATGAGGTCTGGCCTTCCTGGGGAAAGAATTGGAGGTCTTCTTCCTCCTTCATGCTCCAGGAGACTGCTTGAGTCCTGCCAGAATGTCAGGCCCTTTGGTTTAGAGTCACCCTTGGCCTGAGACCCAAATGTGATTTTCCTGCTGGATCACTTGCCTCAGTCCTCAGACTTAGTGCCAGGTGGTTTTTGGCTTCCTTTGCTTATTGAATCCAGCCTACAAGGACATATTTGTCACCATGGATGCTCTTCTGAAAGGTATATCCAGCCAGGGATTCATTCCAGTAATGCTCCAAGCCACAGCTGCAAGCCTGGGGTGAGGTTTGCCTCTATATATATATATACACACATATGTCAGTCCTGGAATATTTGTTAAAAATCCAAATAACACAAAACAAGGGAGGGGCTTGTTCCTGAAATATAACTAAACCATGCCATGTCCTTCTGCAGAGAAACTGCAGCTCACAGTCTGTCTGAAAGGAAACCACCACCTGCCAGAGCACACAGAGAGCCGAGACGGAGGTGATGTCCGCAGGAGGTGTGGCCTCTGGGAAGCGTGGGGTCTAGGGCAGGGTTTCCCAAGGGGAATCCTTGGATCACCTTGATCAGGCTGCCCTGATCTAGAAATTGGACTCTCTAGAGGTGCATCTGGAGCAGTGGTCTAGAATCGTCATGGTTGTTAAGGTGCATCTGGAGCAGTGGTCTAGAATCATCATGGTTGTTAAGGTGCATCTGGAGCAGTGGTCTAGAATCGTCATGGTTGTTAAGCAAGCCTATCATTGCTGATGAAGTCTAAGAAGCACTGGGAAAGAGCTCCACCATATGTGTCAATTTTAACCAAACAAAGCAAAGAAAACGTGCCTGAATCCAGCTTCTTTGGGTGAATGGGCTTCCATGATAGGTCTGTGACCCAAACCTCTTCTCCCTTTCTTGTTTTCCGACTGTTGCTGGGCATTGTTCATCTCCCCCCTCTCTCTGTCTTTGCAGCCAGCTGCCTTGCAGGACTTTTCCTTTTCTTTTTTTCTACCTTTTCCAGGTTTTTTTTTTTGTAGTGGTAATGAGGCAATGGATGGGGACAGAGTTGAGGGGAACTCCTAGCTGAGAGCCCCTCCTTCCTCATCTTCTCTGGAGACCTTGTGTTCTTTTCAGCACTGCCCAGCTTCTCCTGTTCCTTTCTAGTCTCATCCCTACCCCCATATCCTCCTGGAGCTCATGCTCTGGGTGTCCTGTGACCCCAGCCTAGCTTTGAGCTGAAGGGTGAAGGGTATAGGGAAAGAGATGCTGACATGGTTTGGACAGCACAGCAAGTATCAAGTGCTACTAAGGTCTGAGGCCCTCCTGATGGGGGAGGTCAGAAGAGGGTCACAGGTCTGAGCCTGCCCTTGTTCTGTTTTTAATCAATGACTCGGATGAAATGCTGGATGATAAGAAGCCACATCATGAGATGGAAGGATGGAGAGAGTCACTGGGCCAACAAAAACAAAGGCACAGCCCCCCTTGGAACTGGGAATATTTTCCCACAGAATTGTTTTCCACATATGTGGTTAGGGCATTTCCCCATGAAGAATATTATGGGCCAAATGGCCTTTTATGGACTGCTTCTCATTGATCCCTTGTGAGCCAGTTTCTTCTTTGAGCGCAGGAACAATTAATCCCTAAATATTTCACAGAGCTTTTCGTAGATTGAAAGAAATAATGGGTCCAAATGTTCTTTGTAAATGGAAATTTACTACACACATGCAAAGTGGTATCATTGTTGCTTAGTACATTTTCCTAAGGAAGGATGCGTTGTGTTTCCCAAACAACTGACTTGGAGGCAGACATTTTTTTTTGGAACATGACTTATTTGTAAGCTACAAATGCCAGGTTTTTACTTTTATTCAATCACTTTGGATTCGGGGAATGATTTGGGGGTTTCAGAATTGAATCAGTTTTTCCTTTATCTTGGAGTCAGTAAGAGCTTTTGCATAGTACTGACAACCTAAGATGTGAGGCTGGCCTGTCTTCAGCACTCTCTGACTCTACCCTGTTTTGTTCCTCGTTTCCTAGCTGTGGTAGTGTAATGTGGCCAGAGTAAAGGAATGTGGAATCACAGCTCTTGTCTTTAGAGAGTGGTGAATTTATGCTGCAGCTGGTGTACCCAAAGCCTGTTGGCAACTGGGGCTTTGAAACCAACCATACTATCCAACAGGCACAGAAAGGAACTATGAGCAGTCAAGTGAGAATATTCATCCTCTGTGGGCTGTTGGGAAAGCAAAGCAAGAGAATTTATGTTCAGTGATGGTTAAAACCATATTTGGGAATCAAACCAAAACTGCATCATGGTAGACTTCTGCAGCCCAAACTGAACGTGCATCTGTTGGTACAGGTTATTGATATAGCCCAAGGACCAGTTCAGCTCTGTCATTTTCTGTTCAACTTATACCCTTGGAGTCAGCCAGGAGAGGAACACAGCTTCGTTTGGATACTCTAAAGGGCTCTGAGTCAGGCTCATTTTACCTGAGTTCCCCCCTCATGAGGCTGTCTGCCACTGTCCACACCAGTTATTTTCAACTGGGTGATGGAGAGGCTGACTGTACCTCTCAGGGGACATTTAGCAATGTCTGTAGACATCTTTTTAGTTGTCACAACTTTGAGAGGTAGGTGCTACTGCCATCCAATGGGTGGAGGGTTAGAGACTAGGGATGCTGCTAAATGTCCTACAATCGCAAGGCCCCCTGCCCACCAACAAGGAGTTATCCAAACCCAAATGTCAACACTGCCCAGTTTGAGAACCCCTGTTCTACATTGTACCCCAGTTCCATAGTTCTTTTCCCTGTTACATGTTAAGAAGCAGCAATGTTCTGGGAGTGGAAAGTTTTGTTCATTCAACACTCAATTATTAAGGGAGAAATCAAGGAGCCCTCAACGGTTTCCCGTTGGGAGGAGGGAGGCAGAGTGAGGTCTTCAACTGCAGTGTAGGTGGATGTTTGAGGCAGGATGCCTGATTAAGATAAATAACTTGTTTTCCTTTGGTGAACTGAGCTGCCCAGTGACTGTGGGTGGGGGCCATCCATCATGGTGAGAATTCACATGGAGGCCTATTAGCATCAGCAAAACTCAAGTCCCCCTCATTATAGACTTTAGTTAACAGCATTCATGTTGTGAGATTTTATGACTCCATTTCAATTTTGATTTAAGCAACTGTGCCTAATGTAGAAATACATCCAATTACTCGATTACACATCATATCCAATAAATAGCCCATAATCTCCAATGACTCTCTCTCTCTCCACTATCATGGTTATTTTCTGTTATTGACACCCCCTGGTCTTTTCTGCCTCCCCAGCCCACTCCAAATATACAAATCTATTGTTTTATTAAGTGAGGAAAATACAGAGGCACAGGCCATGGCATAGGGAAGGACACATGAAACATTTAACAGAACTTCCCCAGACACAAAACTAGCTGGATCAATACTAAATCTCTATGTGGCTGATGTGCCCTGTGTCCTTGTGACATTCTGGCTTGCAGGTCAACTGGAAGCTGGAGAGTTTCACAGATGATGCTAACTACAAAGCCCGGTGTCCTCTCAAACAGGCTCCCCTTTGTGATTGACAGTGTGTTTAACGGTGCTCAGACTTGTGGAGTCCCCCTGCTAGAGAAAATAAATGCAGACAAAGAGCAGAGCGTGTCATTAAACTGACTTCTGCCTCTATTCACCCTCTTGTGTGATTACAATTCCTCGTACATGGAGGGTTACAGCTACTAGTGGCAGGAATGTGGTGTTTGCTCTATCACTGGACTTAATAATGAGCTCCCCTGACCCCTCAAGTCCCTGCACCTGAAACCAGGCTCTCCCCATGTGACTTTAGGTTTGGAGATAACAGTTTAAACACTTGTTTCTCTAATTATAGGTCATTTGAAGCAGCCCTGGGTCCCTGAGTGGTGTTTCATTATAAGAAAGAACACCCCCCTCTGGATGTAATCTAGGGAAACCGGTCTCAAAGAATGAAACAGTCATTTGTTCCCACCCAGACTAAGGTTGGAAAGTGTCTCGGTCAGATACAGACACAGTTGTCTAACTGGGTTGAAGTTTTCAAGATGGCCATTATTGCCTTCGCCTGCTTTCCCAGATTGGGCTGTGAAGGGTCTGTGATTTGAAATGAACTAAATGTAGTTACCAAACTTCAGGAGATTACTGACCCTGCAAATGCAGGTGTTTTGGTGGTTGGATATTGTGCTGGACTGTTTCATGTGCACAAAATACTTCTGGCCTCAAGAAGCCCAGGCAGAAGCTATTCCCTTTGGAGAAACCCTTGCTTCAAAGTCTGATGACATTCTATAACTCACAGAACTCTCTCAAGTTCTCCTTCCTTTTGTTACTGATAAACTCAGTAGCCCCAAAGGATGGGATCGTTCCCTGTTCAGTGTGACAGAGACATTACATGAAATCAAAAGTAAGCATCAAGCAGAGTAAGTTTTATTCCATGGCCAAAGAATGGAGAAGTGGGGGCCGGGCGCGGTGGCTCACACCTGGAACCCCAGCACTTTGGGAGGCCGAGGCGGGCAGATCACGAGGTCAGGAGATTGAGACCATCCTGGCTAATACGGTGAAACCCCGTCTCTACTAAAAAAAAATACAAAAAAAGTAGCCAAGTGTTGGGGTCCGTGCCGGGGGTTGTGGAGAATGAAAGAACACACAAAAGACAAAGACACACAGAGAACATGGCGGCCGCGCTCAGAGCCTCCGCCTCACTTTATTTATACTCCATAAACCCCACGTCAGCAGAAAGAATGCAATGCAAAACAAACTTTCTTTTCCCAGATGTAACCTTCTACTCAGTTCTTTGTTTC